GATCATGACCGGGCATGAAACACATCTCACGAGCTGTCTCTTATACACATCTAGATGTGTATAAGAGACAGCCCCTGCATGGCCGCGGAGTCTTTTTTTTTTTTTTTTTTTTTTTTTTTTTTTTTTTTTTTTTTTTTTTTTTTTTACAGAGAACATTAATGTGACCGTCCACCGTCCAAATGTGATAGCCCCCTTGGGCTAAGAATTTTGTCATTGTCTTGCTACTCTCCCGGTCATCCCAGACACCCTCCCCTCCCCCCCCCCAAGAAGCCTTAACCCCTGTCTATTCCAGCTTGCCGTTTGGGCTACCCGGAGAGGCCTAATCTGAGTCCTATGTCCTTGCTCAAGTCTAGATAGGAAGCCAGACACACCACACTACCGTCTTCACACGAGTAGAACGCCCGGTCATTATAGCTGTATTTGGCACAACTTTCGGTCCAGATGCAGCGATAATGACCGGGCGTTCTATTCAGGTGAAGACGGTAGTAACCCCAACTTGTATATTAAACCATTAAATTTTGTCCTGACGAAGATTGATATCCATCGAGAGAATGAAATCTCGGCCCACATGGTTATATACAAAGAAGATTAGCAAACCATCTGGACAAAGATGGAATTGATTGGAAAAAAAAAAAGAAAAAGAAGGATGGAATCGTGGAAGTGATTGGTTATTTCTACCGGCCTGGTTGGGTTTCTGGGCCCACGAACATCAATTGAGTTGCACTGACAAAAAATCGCTGCGCAAAATTGTTGCAAACGGATCCTTGCCAATATTGCAAAATGAATCTTTGCTAATATTGCGGGAAAAGAAAAACACATGACATGTATGCATGCATGCATGTGTGTCCTGCTTGCTTGGCAGTGTGTGTCTTTTCCACAGGGCGCTGGATAGAGTCCCTCCTGGAAGGAGGGAATGGTGGGACGGAGAGCAGCAGCAGGACTCTAGCTTGCAGGTGAGCAGGACACCAGTTCTTGTGCTTGCCGAAAATGGCGTCAGCTGTGGGATCAGCTGCTTCGGTGTCGTCGTCAGCCACATCCATTGCCAGATCGCGGCAAGCAGTCAGCAATGCGCAGTGCAACTTATGCCACACCTGCCGCTCGTTCCCGCTGCACCCGCCCCGGGCCGTTGCCGAGATCAGGAAACGACTGGTGACTGTGTCGGCAGCTCAGCAAGTACGACTGGTGAAAACCAGCCTCGACACAAGTTCTGCAGCCACATTCTCTCTTTCCTCCACTCACTTGTTGACGCGACCTCAGAGACGGACTCCCTCTTGTTCCCGGGTCACGCAGCGCCGCCGAGCATCAGCGTTAGTAGTGTGTGCCTCGGTCGATGCAGCAACAGTAGCACGAGACGAAGTTAGCGACGATTACAGGAGTCGACCGCCTCAGGATGTACGAGTGCTAGTTGTCGGCGCCACCGGGTACATTGGGAAGTACGTAGTACGCGAGCTTGTTTCCAGAGGGTTTTCTGTCATCACAGTCGCCCGAGAACAAAGCGGGATTGGCGGGAAAGCCGGTAAAGACCAAACGAAGGCGGAGCTCGCTGGCACTGAAGTGCGGTTTGGCAGCGTAACGGATCCGGCTTCGCTTGCAGCATCGCTAGGGGACTCGAAGGTGGACGTCGTGGTGTCTTGTCTTGCTAGTCGCAGGGGTGGCAAACGCGATTCCTGGCTCATCGATTACGAGGCGACGAAGAACAGCATGGAAGTAGGGAGAGCGAGGGGCGCCTCCCATTTTGTTCTGCTCTCAGCCATCTGTGTGCAGAAGCCTCTCCTAGAGTTCCAGCACGCGAAGCTCAAGTTTGAACAGGAGCTGATGCAGCGCAAAGATATGACCTTCAGTATTGTCCGGCCCACGGCTTTCTTCAAGAGCTTGGGTGGTCAGGTTGAGTCCGTCAAGGGCGGAGGTCCATATGTTATGTTTGGCGATGGGCAGCTATGCGCATGCAAGCCGATAAGTGAGTCAGATCTTGCGAAATTCCTTGCGGATTGCGTGATGGAAGAAGACAAAGTGAATAAGATCCTGCCGATCGGTGGGCCGGGGGAAGCCTTGACGCCTTTGCAGCAAGGCGAAATGCTCTTTCGTCTGCTGGGGCAGAAACCGCGCTTCATTCGTGTCCCTCTGGGGATCATGGACTTTGTCATTTCGCTGCTAGACTCCCTTACCCGGTTTTTCCCTTCGCTTGAAGATGCAGCAGAATTTGGTCGGATTGGCCGATACTATGCGTCTGAGAGCATGCTGATTTATGACCCAAAGACAGGCAGATACTCGTCTGAGGACACCCCCAGCTATGGCACTGACACTCTGGAGGAATTCTTCCGCAAAGTTATTAAAGATGGTATGGCAGGACAGGAACTGGGAGATCAAGCATTCTTCTCGTAATGACAATTCATCCCCAAGCCTACGATTGAGAGTATGATACACCAACCACCCTTGGTTGGTGAACCTAGGCTAAAGAATAGAAATTTCACCACTTTTCAAAGGGAAAAACCGGGTCTCGTGGTATCCCGGTATCATTCATTGCTCATGTATTTCTTATCCCGAATCAACTCTCTCTCTCTCTCTCTCTCTCTCTCTCTCTCTCTCTCTCTCTCTCTCTCTCTCTCTCTCTCTCTCTCT